CAATGACTGCCCGTTTCCCTATCTTTTACTCCTATTTCTGAATCAGGACCAACCAGAGAAAGCCAGTTATGTTCCCAAAACGAACCGCATGAGATTCCTGGCTTCCAGATAGCCTACCTCGTTTTCCCATGCCAACAACCTCCAATCATGACACGCCTGAGGCCTCTCTCCATCACCTCCTTTTCTACTATAAAGCTTTTCCCTCCTCTGCCTGCCTTTGAGTTTCTGTCAAAAGCTAGTGCTGGTGGTCGACTCCCTTACTATATAGCAAGTTCAGAATAAATAACCTCTGCTTGTTCTCATTTGGATGGTCTTTACTTATTTCTACGAAACTAAAGATTATAGATAATTAGGCTTCTCTTAAAAAATACAATTTTCAATCACTATCTTATGACACACCAGAATCCTGGCAACCTGTGTGTCACTCCTTTTCCTAAAAATCACATCTGATGATCTTTCCTTTCCACACGCTTACAAAGCCCCTCAAACCCTTGGCATGCTCCTGGCCCGCTGTGGCCACAGAGCCTCCAGGAACATTTTGAAGCTATTTATTTATTTACTTATTTTTATATTTAAGTTTATTTATTTATTTTGAGAGAGATAGTGACAGTGTGGAGGGGGGCGGGGCAGAGAGCAAGGAGAGAGAGAGAATCCCAAGCTAGCTCTGTGCTGAGAGTGCAGAGCCCGACACGGGCTTGAACTCACGAATCTGTGATCATAACCTGAGCCAAAACCAAGAGTCAGATGCTTAACCAATTGGAGCCACCCAGGTGCCCTCAAGCTCTTTAAAACCCTCAAGAGGCACAAACTATGAAGCAAGTCATAGGCTCTTGGTGAGCGAAGCCTCTGAGGACAGGGCTGTGATACAGGCACTGTGTGTCCTCCGGGCAAAGTCCTTTGCCTCAGGTAGTAAGAGGCAGCCTCATATTCATCCTTCTCCCGAGAGAAGCCAAAAAGCATATGGTTTACTCTGGTATTGTTTACAAAGTTGACCAAGATAAATAAAAACAGGGATGCTTAAAATGAAGCCTCACGTTTTTATTCAAGCAATTGACAGTTTTCATGGTAAGTATTATCTGTGTATGAAATATCAAAATGATTTCTTTCTCAAAAAATATTTTTTTAGTTTTAGAATGCACTTACTGTCCTTACCTTGCCTGCTCATGCTAACTTTGAACTTGAATTGCTCAGTATCCTCTGAAAGGATGCAGGATTATGGTACCTCCTGGGGTCACAGTGGCTGTGGTGGTCTCGGGTCGTGACTCCTTCGGCGCTGCCTGGCCCAGTTCCCCGTGACACTGATGTTCCTGCAGCCACACGTTCCTGCAGATGGCTTCCCTGTCGCGACTCTGGGCCCGGGTTCCCGCTGAGAGATGTTGCTTGGCCAGGTCCTGTGATTTAGCACATCCCAGAAACCTCTGCAAAAAATATCTCCTCGCTTGACACAGCAATCAAAACCTGAGTTGCAAAGATTAACCATGATGTCTTTTGGGCATCGATAGTGTGTTCCTCTTTAACTCTGGATGTGATGCTTATTCTTCCTGCTGTCACACTGCCACCCATCCAGCCTCAGCTTCAGACCTGCCCCAAACTGAAAAACTCTCTACATACAGGTTCTGGTTTTTTCACAATGTCTGCTAAGAATGCTTCACGTGAATCCCTAACACGGTTCTAACAAGGCCATTGAGGCTGCTGCCTGGGAAGAGATGAGGACACGGCAGGTGGCCTCAGCAGAAAGGGGTGTTTTCTGTACACATGAGGGCGACAGCAGGGGATAAGTTCTGTGCCTATCTCCACACTGAAGATATGAGGCATTCCCAGCACCCCCTACCGCTGCACATGCCCTTCAGACCCACACTATGTCTTTCCGGGGCCACAGAGGTAAGGGCTTCTCAGGCACCTCCTAGAACTACCCTAAATACCACCTGCTAAGTATCCTACAAGTCAATATGCTCAAAGGAGGAGAGGAAACCATTCACTGGAGAAAAAATGCTTTATTTCTACTGGGGGAAATTATGTTTTACCTTAGAATTTTTTTTTATATGTGAAGTATTTGTCCGGACCCCATTCTCAGACATTATATTCAGCTAAATTTCCACCCAAATAAGCTGGCCTTGTGGTGGGAAAGCATCCTTTGTGGAAGACAGTGGAGAAATGGGACTTTTAAAGACAAATAAACCAAACACACACACACAAACACTCCTGATGGAAGTTCAATGCTCTTGAAAAAGGGGTTTTTAGTATTTTTAGTATGAGATTTTCTCGGCATACGTTTCTAAACATTCAGAGAGAAAGGCTGTAGCAAATAACTGACCCTAGAAATTATATTTATTTCCAAGCCCTGTGGCCAGATTGAAGGAGGACACCAAGAGCAGACATGGGTGCTGAGGGCCAGGAGCTACAGCTCCGAGGGCCAGGGACAGCCTGTGTATGCGCACATGTGCACACACACGAGGGAAATGACACAGGCCCTCGCCATCTAGCACACGATACAACCAGAAATCAGATTTATGTTGGTAACAACATGTGATTATCAACTGACCCGCCTGCTCCTTGCCAGGCCTTGGAGGAGGAGCTCAGAGCATGCCTCCACGACCCAACAGGAAGACATAAACAGAAGCACTTAGTGTTTAAAGCTTCATGGTGGTTCAGGACAAATTTTTCCCTCTGACTAATGGACCTTCACTTATGGCTATGCATTTTACATCCTCTCTCCTACAACTGCCCAACTGCAGTTTCAAGAAATAAGCCATAGAAAAACTGCCAGAAAGCCACAAATACCTGAACTAGACTGGCTGCTACTCTATTTTAGGGAAGGAAACATAAAGGAAGGAATTTCCTGAATGGCAGAGTTAGAGGAGTTTTAACTGTTGCCATAAACGGGCCTCATCACATACATAATGGGTGAGACAAGTCAATAAATACAACAGATTTCCCTGTGATACTTCAATCCTTATATTGAAACTTCAAAATCAGAAACCTGAGGTTTCCAACTGGGAAGTTAAAAAGAGAAAAGAAGTTTACACATTTTATGACACACAATTTTATTTACATAACTGAAATTATGTTCTTAGTCACCTTGATTACAAAAGCAAATTAACATGGTATGGTTTAATAACCTTTCATAAATAGATTTTACAAACTTTAATAACTGACAGATTGCTACTTACAGCCAGTAATATTTAATACTTAGTAACTTCCGTGTATATGTATATGAAAATTGTCTGATAGGACCAGTAAATATGAATGCTGTTAAAACTCAGGAATAGACAATTAGATTATTGGTCAAGAGTTAATTCCCTATCACTGGGTCAGCCAGTTTGACCTGGAGTTCTCACCCTGCCAAGAACAACCCTACTGTGGCAACTCGCACTTATTGGGAAGGTATTTTTAATTAGGTGAGAGAGTTTCTCCTTATTTTTGCATTGCTAAGACTATCATTAAGCACATCTGAAAACCGAAAGTTTACCACAACTAGATATTTGTAACAGAATTCATCACAGTGCATCTAAAAAACGGCCTAAACTAAAGCCATGTTCCATCTCCAGTAAGTGTTTTTCCAGCGCTCTCTCTGGGTGTGTGTACACACACATACACATACACACACATCATGAGGCTCTGATACATACTTATCCAAGCCTTCTTGGCCACAAAAATGCCCCCATTTCATTGCTTTTGTGAAATGCCTGTAGGATACAGTATTTGGATGAGGCTACTGTCAATCTTTCAAAGTGCTTTAAGTCTGAAGACCAGGCAGTGTGTTGGTAACCGACCCTCTCCTGCAAAGTTACAGACAGAAGAGCTGTCGGGGACTTCCAGAAAGCCGCCTCCACAAGATGGGAGGGGCACTGAGTGTCTGTGACCACAAACAAGCAGTGAAGAATGACAAGAAGCTTATGAGTCATGGTCAGAATCTAATAAACAAAAACGTCTTGCTATATAGCAGCATTGAGTTACAAACACAGAATGAATGGATACACGTACCTTTTCACACAAGCTCTATGAGAGCCAAAACATTGTCTTTTCCACATCAGAACTGTGATCAGAAGGGTAGCAATCCTCGGTCACTGTCAACGTTACTTCTAACAGAACTAGCAGAACTGTCCCTTTTAAACTGTGCACTAACCCCACCCACTCCTAATGTGCGAGATGAGGCACCGCTTTCTGGCACTGGACGGATGCGGCACCCTGGGGGCTGGCAGGGGTGGGATTCATGGCAGCCGAGTCTCGGCTGTTAGCAATCCCGGGACGGGAGGCCACTCCACTCAGACGCCCTCTTCTTCATTCTGTTCTCGCCAGAAGGTAGTGATCACTCAGTGATGGGAACAACAGTGAAGTGTCCAGCGAGCCCTGTCCTCTCACACCACCTATCTACATAGCAAATATGGCATCAAATCTATTGTGCTAAATTGAAGAATCCATTTAACTCATGATAAAAATCAAATGTCTTCCTAAGAAAAGGTTACACGATTAAAAACAAAAACCAAAAAACAAACCGCTCCCAGGATCTCAAATGCTGAGCTGAGGCCTGTCCCAAGGTCCCCTTGTCCCCTCCAGCCCTGGCCAAGGGTTCGATACCACGATAGGGCCTTGCTGGGCTTCTTGTTCTGAACAAGGATGTGTTATTTGGGCCAGTTTTTTTTTTTTTTTTTTTTTTTCCTGCTGCCTTTTTTGGTGTGTGTGCTTCATGTTTAAATCGTGTTGCCTTGTTTGCTGGCAACAAGAAAAATCAAACCGCTCAGGTAGTGAGTGAGGGACCCACACATCTGAGCACAGGGTGTGGTGGTCACTGATGAACACAGACCAACACAGAGCACTGCCAAGGGCTGGAGAGGAAGGAATACCTAAAGGCTGGACTCAGAACTCTGGTCCAGTACGCTACGTCTGCCAGGAGGGAAAATCACCAGCCAGTGTGAAGTGCACAAAGGAGGGGCTGGCAGACTTTCTGTTCTCGGCATGTTTCTTCCCCTTGTGAGTCCATTACCTTTCACAAAGAAATGTTAACTATCAAATGCGTCCATTAATTGTGCCGCTGAGGGTGAAACCATCCAGTTAGCATATACACTATCATTTGCATATCTTGGACACACAGTGTTAGTGCCATCAGCTCTCGTGAGTGGTACAGGACTCTCTTCAGGCCAGTTCGGGTCTGACATGCCTAAAAATGAAAACAGATCATTTGCTCTGCACTGAAGAACCAAAACTTCATGTGCAGACAGTAAGGCCTTGGCAAAACTCCCTTTGAGGTTCAAACCAAACTTTCTGGTTTTCTGTGCCAATTACATGAATGGTTTCGTGCTCCGGGTTTCCAAAACACTGTCATATTTGGGGGGAAATATCACGTGCTCTCTTGGTAACTGTAACTTAACAGAAACTCCCAATTTTGACTTTTATAAGCTTCGAACTCCCAAATCTGATATAAATATTTGTTGACCTGTTTAAGTCTTTTTCTAAGCCAGCATAAAGCATTGCTGAATTAAAGGGCTCACTGCAGTGGGAAGCTTCTATAAAAAGTTTTCTAATGTAAAGAAGCCTACTCGTCTTCCATCCAAACCCACCACGGAGGAGAGAATCTTCCAAATCAAGGGTGCGCACGGGCGAGCCCCACAGCGTCGACAAGACAATGGTGTGTGGCACCAGACCCAAAGCCAGCAAGGAATCAGTGACTCAGGAGGCATGCAAAAGGAACAATCTCGGCTGAAAACTGCTTGACACTCCAAGATTTAAAAGCAATCAATGATCAAGTTAGGAAACAGAAAAAATTTTCAAGTATTTAATCAAAGACAAAAGAAGGAGTTTTGGCAAGAACCATATTTACTGTCCATTGCAAGACCACAGCACCACAGACTATGTTCTTTCAAAAGCATTTGCTCCAGCTTGTAGCACTGACTTCGTAAGTGACAACTGTCATGACGGTGTGTAACGCAAAGGATGTGAAAACAGCAGTCTTCATGTGTCCTCCCTGATGGTGGGCATGTGGGCTGGGCTGAGCTCCCTAGTACGGAGTGGCCTCCCAAGAGCCACCTGCCCACCCAGATGGGTTCTGGGAGTGACCACAGGCTGTGCCCTCAGTGCAGGCGGGGTGGTGCCGGCTCCTCCTGTCTGAATGAAATGCCTCCCCAGATTGGGTAAATTTATCCCAGTAGTTAAATTAGAAGTACTATGACTTGATGCATACCCACCCAGAAATGACTTGTTTATCGTTTTCTCAATATCCCCTGAGAATTCTGCCCAGCTCTTTCTTTTCTATTATCATAAGTTGCTAGGCAGTGTGGTAAGTATACTTATTTTCACATCCTTTAAAAAAAAAACACACACACACACAGTTTCAAAAATGCCTGAATGTAAACGGATGCAAAGTCAGACATTTACAAATAAAAAGGTTCAGAGAGAACTTTGGTTTCATTCAGACCAGAAACACTCTTAAAAAGCATTACAGAGAGTAAGGATAGTGCAGAGAGGAACGATGTTGCTAGAATCTAGTAAATGCATGTGAAATTCTACCATAGAGTTTGTTTTCAATCCACGTGGAGGGGAGGGCTCGAGGGAGGGGAGCATTATTACAGTCCACCAGGGGCGTCTCCTCCTCCGAGAGGCCGTCGTCATAAAGCAGGGAGTCGGATGGGGTGGAGGCAGCCAGGTCCAAGTAGTCCTGGAAGACAGAGATAGTTGGTCATCCCAGCATGGGTCACCACATGGCCCCTGCTCCTCTCCTCCCAAAGGCAGACTCACTGGCTGAGTCCCACCTCATGCTGGCCTACTAGCCTCTCCTCACGACCTGAGCCCCTTGCCAGACAGCCAGCACTGAGCCCTCCCAGCCTCTCCTTGGCTGGCCTTGCTCCACAGCCCTCATTGCTCCCTCCAGAAAGTCACCTGCCTGGGACAGAAATGTGCTCCTTCATTGCCTAGTCTTACCTCTGCAACATGTGGGAAGGGGGTGGGTTACTACATCCAGCACTGGGGAACCGGCCCATTTTACCAAACCCAAGGATCTGGGAGAGCTCACTGCAGCCCCATTACTCATGTGTGAGTGCCAAGAAGCATCTCTGACCTGCTAACATTTTTCAGCTTTCCTCTGAGGACTCCCACCTAGAACAGAGCATCAGGACTCAGAAATCTGAAGTCATTGACGTGGGTTTTGCATAGGAGGATGTTCTGGGCTTTAGCTCCCAAGCATGATGATTTCTCAGTGCCTGCCACTTCCACTGCCCTGGTTAAATGTGTAAAGAACAGTTGTAGCATTTTCCTGGATGCTTCTCTAGGAAGGTTGGCTCTCTTGGCATCACCTGTTATTTTTATTTAAGGTAATCCTGCGTTCACAGGATTTGGAGGCTTGGCCCAAATGGTACCCTGGTGTTAGGTTTTATTACAAGCGGCCTACACCTGGCACATTTGTTTTTGTGTTTGAAGAAATGCCAACTTTTAGTAAATGTGCCAAGGTAAAGATGAAACCCTGAAACCCTGAAGGTAAGATCTGTGTCTGTATCGTTTACTTGTATCCCCAGCATCTGAGACAGAAAATGGTACATAGCAGTTGCTCAATAAATATTAATTGAAACTTGTCGGCTGTCTCGTTTACCTACAGAGTTGTAACCCAGAGGCATATGGGCTGAACTTAGTCTCCCAGATATGACTTATTTGGACCAGACTGAGCTTTTGGAAGTATTTATTTATTTATTTATTTATTTTGAAAGAGAGAGAGAGGGAGAATGCAAAGAGCACAAGCGGGGGAGGGGCAGAGTGTCTGACCTGGGGCTTGATTCTGATTGTGAGATCATGGCCTGAGTCGCAATCAAGAGTTTCAAGCTTAATCAAGTGAGCCACCCAGGCACCCCAGCTGTTGGAAATTTAAATGAGTTAGTAACATTAAAAACTGGAAAGCTTCAGGGGTGCCTGGTGGCTGGGTGGGTTAAGTGTCCCAACTTTGGCTCAGGTCGTGATCTCATGGTTTGTGAGTTCAGACCCTGCGTCGGGCTGTGTGCTGACAGCTTGCCTGGAGCCTGCTTCAGATTCTGTGTTTCCCCCTCTCTCTGGGCCCTCCCCTGCTCAAGCTCTGTCTCTCTCTCTCAAAAATAAATAAGCATTAAAAAAAACTGGAAAGCTTTACATAAATATTCTTTAAAATTGAGAAGACTAGGCACTCTGGTACTCATATTCCTATAGATTATGTGTGGCTACAACGAGAGATCCTTTAGAGGGGCTGGTGCCTGTTGGTTGTGATCCCACCACTCAGCGCTTCCAACCTCACGGGCCCCTTGTCTACTCTGATGACTTGTTTCTTTTTTTTTTTAAATTTTTTTTTTCAACGTTTATTTATTTTTGGGACAGAGAGACAGAGCATGGCAGGGGAGGGGCAGAGAGGGAGACACAGAATGGAAGAGAGGCTCCAGGCTCGGAAGCTGAGCCATCAGCTCATCAGAGCCTGACGGGGCTCGAACTCCGGACCTGAATGTGACCTGGCTGAAGTTGGACGCTTAACCGACTGCGCCACCCAGGCGCCCCTGATGACTTGTTTCTTTACTGAAAATGATGTTGTTTGACTTTGGAATATTTGCTTCCCACACCTGTCTGTGGACAGCTCTAAGCATAAAGGGAAGAATCTTGGTTTCTTTATGACTTGAGAAGGGGCCTGGCTCAAGGAGAAGGGTTCAGGTGCTGGCTGCCTTCAGGGGACGGCACGACCATCTCCCTTTGTACGGCCTTGCTCTGACCCTGCACTGGGAACTCCACAGAACAGGGGTGAGGCTGGAGTCCCCCCACTGCCATGTTCCACCTGCAGGTGGGCAACGCCAGGAACTAGCTCCAGGTACTCACTCTGTTCTTAACCATCATCTTTTCCAGGTCTTTGCTGATGTCAGCAAACACTGGCCTCTTGTCTGGTTCCTGCTTCCAACACTGCAGCATGAGACCGTACCTGGCGGGAAGCACAGATGAGCAGTTATGACCCAGCATGGACTGCCCAATCACAGCCACCATACCCAGCACGGTGCCCTGGGCCCACAGGGCTCTGTTCTCAAACCCCAAAGCTGTTTCTGCATCACTGGACATCCTTCGCTGAGCTGAGCCAAGATCCGAGGGTCGTTAGGGGGTCAGGGTGCCTGGTGCTGTGGTCCAGCATCCTGTGGGTCTCCTTGCCCTTGAAAGAGATTTGTTTTCCCTTCCTTTTCAAAGATGTTGGTAAACAGCTGACAGGATGCCATGCTCACTACGGGGGGCTAGTCCTTAAACTCTTATCAAGTATGAACTGGTTATGGAAACAAACAAAAGCTTCTGCCAACCACACCTCTGCCTTGGGCCGTCCTCACTTCCTCATTTCCCTGGGGCCCGGGCTTGGTTGCAGGGCCTCCAGGGCTGCCACGTGGGTGTGCCCTGAGCCGCCCAGGGACGTGGTACCTACTCACCCCTGCACTCCCTCATCTAGCCCTGAGCCAGGCCCGTGGCAGGCACACAACAGGTTTTGTTGAATGAATGGACCGGCCTGTTTCTGCCCATGGTGGTGCCTTTCCCATGTGTTCTCAGCCTGGCCTCTAAGAATCATCTGCTGGAACTACCATGTGGAGACTCCAGCACTCTTGGGCTGTGGGGCAGGCTCTTCCTGCCTGCCCCCTGCCGGCCTCCGGAGCCCCCGGAGGGCTCCATGTGGGCCCTCCCCAGTGTGCACTCCTAGGGTCATTCTGAATTATCTGCCCCTCCCCAGGTGTCCGAAAGGGACAGACCTTGGGCTCAAGCTGCTCTCTGGGTCTGAAGACCTTTTATCCTTTCCACCACCTCTCCTTGGCCTTACTCCCCCTCATCCATGTAAGCCTCCACCCACAGGAAACCCACTCAGCTCCCAGCAGAGTCAGGGTCCCCAGCACCTGCCATCGTGCGCAGTGCTGGTTCTCAGCCTTCTGCCTTGGTGTGCCCTGCCCTCTTACTACCTACTCCCTGGTTCACCGTGGGCTCGTGCCAAGGGCTGCTCAGGAACAGCGAGGGAATGAGTGCATTGTCTGTGTCTGAGGGAGGCTGGGCCAAAGCAAAGCCTGCTCACATCTCCTCACTGCAGTTGTCAGGCCTCTCCATCCGGTAGCCTGTCTTCAGGAGGTTGAAAAGCCGCTCCGGAGGGATCCCAGGGTAGGGGTTGCCCCCCAGAGTCACAATCTCCCACAGCAGGACACCAAAGGACCACCTAAGGGGAGTGAGACAACCAGTGGGTGGCTGCACTGGGCCAGCGGCGTCCCCTTCTCAGCAGACCAGACGTCCATCCCCCCAGCTGTTGCTGACCTCATCAGCGCCCCCAGTGCAAAGAGCCAGCCAAGTGCTCACGGATTTCAGCCTGGGCCTGACTGCGTGGATGGATGTGGAATGGAGGTAGGGATGAGCCGGCTGCCTGCCCTGCTCTCACGCCTGCCGTGCACAAGGCCCACCAGGCCGCCGCCAGAACTCGGCCCCCACACCCACAAGGGGTACTTGGCTGGCCCTGTGGAGATGCGCCAAAGCACCAGAGACAGCACGGAGCAGCCGGGGAGGTACACCAACATGTGAGGCAGGGACTGAGGCCACGGGGCTGCCTGTACAATTCCTTCACCTCTTCTGTGGGCTTGGAAACGTAAAATCTTCAAAGAAAAACAGCACTGCCACAGAAAATTATTTAACTGTGAGGGAGAACTTACCGTGAAGTGGGACCAAAATCACATTGTAAAATAGCATCATCACATGAGCCCACTTACAGAGATAAGAAGCATATGCCTGCACACCATGGAAAACACTAGACGGTCTTGTAGGCCAGGACCTTCAGGAGCTACTCAGGGGCCGTGCGACCCAACTGACTTGCAGTGTCTTCATTACCCTTTGCCTTTGCCTTTTCCAACTGTCTACAGTCAGCTTCACATAATCCGAACACAGCTGCTTAAAACTGTTTAGGAACTGCCTTTTCTCAGCCCACATGATTCAAGAAATGCATGTGCGTTGATGGAAGAACACTCAGAAACAAGTCTGCTGTGTTTTTGAAAACTATCAGGTCTTATGATTTGACCTGTAAGGCCGAGTGTTGGTTCCTTTCTTCAAGCAGATTGGGACATGCCAACCCAGCAACTCACCCAAGGCCACCCTACCTATGGTAGGACTTGTCTGAGCCCAGCCCATGCTCAGGCCCACAGAGGGGAACGGTTCAGCTGGGCCTGCGTGGCACTAAGATGCCCAGGGAGGAGAGGGAGGGGCTGGCAAGGAGGATGGTGAGGGAAATTTCCAGTTACCCATTCACTGTTCTCACGCATTCCACTGTGACTCTCAGAACCACTGCGTGGGCCCCTGCTGTTTGCTGAATGAATACATGAAGGCTCCTCAACCTGGCAGGGGGGTGGTCCTTGCAGATGGTTGGTATGAGCCAGTGTTGGGGCCGGTGTTGATCCCCCAGCCAAGCTGCCCAGATGGGCATCGTGGCACCCTATGAATTATAACCTTGACCCCAGGAAGGCAACACCCATACTTACACATCACTTTGGGTGGTGTAGATATGATCGAAAAGAGACTCAATTGCCATCCATTTGACTGGAATCCGACCCTAAAAAGGGAATGACGGGAAGACATTAACATGGCTCTGACACCCTGGGAACTGGGGGTGGGGAGTGTGGGGCCATGTCCCGTGCATTTCCAGCTCTGGAAGGATGCTGAGGGGCAATGTCCAGAGTGCTCCCAGGCACAGAACTGGCGGCAGAGCCTCAGAGGGGCTGGAACTCTGGTCTCCCAGGAACAGTTGAGATGCTGGAGGGAGTCAGCTGGCCTGCCCACAGCTACACAGGGGGTGCTCGTCATGCATCACATCCCTGCTGAGAAGAAACCCAAGGAATCAAGACCACACCCAAGCCAGGTTTCCCTAGGGCCAGGTCCGGAGGGCTCTGGGGTGCCCTGGGTGGTGATGCCCAATGTGTGGGCCAACAACACCATCCAGCAAGACCTCCTGATTTCTGAGGGTGAATGAGTTCAGGAAACCAACTTCCAGCGTTTCCATCTTGGGGACTTCTGAGGCAAACCAACACACTAAAGGCTTTTCTGAGAAGCCCTGAGAGAAGAAATCTGTTTCCATGTCTTGGGGCTTCTTTTTTCCCTATCATTTTATCCCACAGCCCTGTGCTAACAAGGCTGAGAAACTGCGCCTCTGAGAAACTGCGCCCACTGCAGAGTTGTTGGGGTCAGACCTAACAAATGCTTTCCAGCGCAACTTGAGAAACAAGTTAGTAGGTAAGTCTTAGGACAAGAATCAACCAAAAATGTGGTTGATCGATTTTAATGCAAAATTTACTGCGGTTTCTTTTTCTTGAAAGCATTCTTCACGATTTCCAACCTTCATGAAGTGTGACTTTCTGAGGTGTGAGTGTTCGTAACAACACTGCCTGCTGCCTGTGCTCTCTAGGAAGCCTTGTGCTTGGATGTCTGTACTTCTCTGCTCCCTGACACAGGCCATTTTGGGGGGATCAGTGCATCTATAGAAAGGCTGTGTCCACACCCCTCCATAGGGGAAGTGGCCCCTCTCCACTTCCCCTTCAGCAGTTCTGAGATATGCTGTCACAACAGAAACCCCAGAGGCACCTGGGGTGCCATTAAGTCCCTTAAGTGACCAACTCGATGTCAGCTCGGGTCACGATCTCATAGTTTGTGAGTTCAAGCCCCGTGTCGGGCTCTATGCTGACAGCACGGAACCTGTTTGGGATTCTCTCTCTCTTTCTGCCCCTCCCCAGCCCATGATCTCTCTCTCTCTCTCAAAATAAATAAGCTTAAACAACAGAACAGAACCACAGAAACCCCAGAAAAAAATGAAACATCATCCTCACAGTCTGTGGCGACACAGGGCTTCTCCTAATCCCTTAGAACAAATCTGAAGTGTATGTGGTCACTTTCTGTGCTTTTCTTTTTTGAGAAGTGTCTGTTCTGAAAGCCAGTAGGCCCCAGGAGTGATCCTGTCTGGTCACCAGGAGGCAACAGGAGAGGGGCTGAGAAGGCAGTGGAACTATGTCCCCCTGCCAGGCTGCCCAGATGGGCATCGTGGTGCCCCGTGCATGTAACCTTGACCCCAGGAAGGTAACACCCACACTTACACATCACTTGGAACTGCCACAGGGCACTGCACAATACAGGGACACAAATTTCCCCAGAAGGGCCCCCAACCACCTATCCCAGTGGTTTGGAGAAAGCGTCTAAGAATCCTACGTTGCGTCTCTGGACTCCCTCTCCAGGGCCTCCCTGTGAGCCTTCCCAAGTCACCCAGCCAGGGGTTCCCAGGTCCCTGTTCCAGGGGAACCCCCACCTGTAACGCAGTTCATTCCTTTCTGCCCAGAATGACTGCCACAGTGAGGCTTATTGACTTCAGTCTCCTTTGAGCGAAGAGCTAAGTTACACAGAGGAAACAAGGGACCTTTCATCCTGTAGAAGGGAGGGGAACAACTGCGGAGAAGAGAACTATCATTTCTGCAGCGCTAGCTGACCTTCAAAGGTGACAAAAAGCAAAAGAAGCTGCAGGCCCAGCTTCCCAGGGGTGCTCTGAAAGGGCGCGTATGGCCCTCAGGAAGAGAAGGAACAGACACAGGGACGAGTCCTGTGTCCCACGATTAGGGAGGGATTTGAAGATGACAGCTAGAAGTTTATACTCTAAAACGATCTGCTCTCTCCTCCCCAGGTGCTCTAAGGGCTCTGCCCAGGCCCACTGCGGGAACCCTGCCCCCCCCCCCCAACCCCTCTGGGAGCCCTGGGCCACACCCCTGGGGACCCGGTACCTTGCTCCTCTTCACATAGGAATCCTCTTCATAAACGTCTCGGGACAGGCCAAAATCTGAAATCTTCATCTTCCGCCCCTCAGCTACCAGGACATTTCTGGCTGCCAAGTCCCGATGGACAAGCTGCGAGGAAGGACAGCAGCAGGGACACCTGAAGCCCGGGCCCCGGCGCAATCGGTGGGGGCCCGGGCTGGCAAGGCACACACCTTCATCTCAGCCAGGTACCGCATCCCCCGAGAGATCTGCCAGGCGAAGGAGATGAGGTCGCCCATGGTCAGGGCCCGCTCCTCGGGGTTGTCCAGGTAGCTGGAGCTGCGGCTGCCTCCGCTGCCCACGTAGCCGGGCCCCGCCTTGCGGCTCTCTCGGAGGAAGCCCCGCAGGGAACCGTACTTGGCATACTCCACAATGAGGAAGAGCGGGCCTGGGGGCAGAGAGGGGGCTGTGAGCTGACTACCTGCAGAGCCTGGGCCGGGAGGAGGCTGCAGGGCCCCTAGGCAGGCTCTGCCCCCACCAGTAAGTGGGCACAAGGACACAGCCCTCTCTGGCCAGTGGCCTGGGCGCCATGCAGCGCGTATTTCAGTCCTGGCTCACTCTCGCACGGCTTGCTCTCCTCTTTGTGCCGGCCATGCCAAAGAGGCTCCCTGGGTGGCCGAGCGCAGCCTTCTCCTGGGGTGCCCAAGGCAGGTGGCTGCCTTACTAGTGCTGCCCCGGGAGCCAGCCCCCTGCTGCCAGGACGTCACGTCTTTCTACATCCTCGGCCCTGCTGCAGCACAGGCTGGGGATGGCTGACGGACGCAGAAGATCTGGAGCCTCGTGTGGCACCTGCTCCCTGTTCTCAGCAGCTCGTAGGCTGCAGTCTTGTCCCAAGCCCAGCCTCGAGTCCTGCTGGTGTCCACCAGTGTCCTTGCTGCCCTCTCTCTGGGGCACCCTGCCCTCTCGTTCCCCCAGCACACACACATCTGCGTGTACGAGCACACACAGTGAGAGGCCCTCGAGCAGCACAGACCAGGCCAATCTCCTGTGTCCTTATGTGAGAGATGGTGACGATGCCTTCACCATGCAGGGCTGGGCTTGGGGTCACCTGGAGGTCACGGCACTCCTAGTCCCCAGTAGGTGCCCAGGACATACCATCTGTTTCTAGGGCTCCCTGCCCTGGAGCTCTGCCTGGAGCAGGGTGCTGACAGACCAGGATGTCACCACAGACCTCTGTGCAGCTGCAGCTGGCCCGGGGGCAGGAGCCTCATGCAAACACCGCTGCAGCAGCCCTTCCTGATCCTCTCACTGACGCGGGAGGATGCAGGCTTCGGGTGGGGCCAGAGCCAGAGAGGACAAGGAAGGGGAAGGAGGAAGAACGAAGCAGCCCAGAGCCCCCAGCCTGCACTGGGCAGCTGCCTGTCCCTTGGCCGGCCTTACCGTCCTGGCTGCAGGCCCCATACAGCTTGATGACATGTGGGTGGTTGACCTGCTTCAGGAGGTTGAACTCTGACAGCAGGTCCCGCAGCTCACTTGGGGAAGCATTCTCTGAAATGCACGTAAACAGAGCAGGCTGCAAACCAATCCCTTCTGGAAGCCCCCTCTGTGACCACCCTGGGTCACTGACCCACATTACGGGTCTGCACAGACCCTGGTTATCTCCTTCCCAGACAGCCTACCTAGGTTTAGACAAGGCCCCCAAAGACCCTGCTATTCAGGGCTTCTCTCAGCCTGTAAGAGGGTCAACAGCTGCCTCATCTGCTTCTGGGGAATAACAACCCTGAGGAGCAAACTTCCTTATCGGCAGGCTCTTTCCATGGAAACCCTCCTGGGACCAGGCTGTGTGTGGAAGTGGCTGCATTTCCCTGAAGTTGTCATCTTTCAAGGACAGTGGTGCACAGAGACCGTCCTCATAAATCCCGGGAAGGTAAGACGCGTGTCCCGTGTCCTAAAACACCTGCCGACCAAGCACGCAATAGGAGGGTGAGGCCCTGGAGAAAGCTGAAGACGATGAGGCTTCACAGAGGTGGCCTCTCACCATGCTGAGCACGTGCGTCCTGAGGGTGGGCAGAGCTGTGCTTGGGCTCCCCGCAGGAGGCTAATCTCGAGGGGAGGGATGTGGAGTCAGAAGCTGGGGCTCAACAGGCCTCCTGGGGCAGCTGTGCCACATTGCGTCCTCTGGCTGAACACTGGAAGTGAGAGGGCGGCTGGGAGATAGGGTGTCAGGACCCACATGTGGTGGCCTGGGCTGGTCTCAGTGTGGCCCCTTAGTTCCTGGAGCCTCAGGGGGGCATGGGGAGACCCCAGTCTGAGGGTCTAGGTAAGCATTCAGAAGCACCCACTGGTTCAGGTAATGGTTGTCACGGTGTAGCCCCACCTGCGGCACTAGAATTCTCATGTACATCTGCCAGTTTGCACCCACTGCATGGCCACTGGGCCCTTGGGCCACTGGACTGGCCACCCAGTCTCTGGGTGGACACCAGTGTTTGCGTATGGGTAGGTGAGCATATACCCACTTAGAGGCAAACTTGTGGCATGACTGGTCACAGGGCCCTCGCTGAGGGCCACAGGGACAGGCCAGGTAGGGCCCCAGGGGGCAGGGGCCAGTCCCTACAGGTGGCTTCTTCACCAGGACCCCAGGGGGTGAGAGGAATGAATGGGGCAGACTGGGGAGGGAGAGCTGTCAGATCAAGACAAAAAGGGCTTTTAATTTTTTAAAAACTCAGATCTTTACCCAATATTGATGCAAAAGCAATACCACTCTAGAGCCTTCCAAGCGAGGAAAGTCCTCTTGCCCTGTTTCTCCAGGGCCCACCCTGGCCCATTTCATCCGTGACGGGGGTCTCCAGAATGCAGCCCCTCAAGAATAGCAATGGGGGGCTCTGGAGAAGGCTCCCGGCTGGCTGCCAGCACCCTGGTTGTCAGGGGGGCTTCGTCCAGCCCTCGGGGTTCCTGCAGAGCCACCTGTGCACAGTGCATTGACAGGTACCTTTCAGCATCTTCACGGCCACGGTTGTGTACCCTGCTTTGCCTTTCAGCCGGAAGGCTGTCGCCTTAACCACTTTTCCAAATTCGCCTTCTCCCAGGGTTTTCCCAAGAACCAAGTTCTTTCGAGGAAATTCCCACTTTGGATCCTCCTATGTAGGGTTGAAGGAAGAAGAAGAGAAGGGAGAAAGCTGGTGAGGGTAGGAGGAAAAGAGGACGGCAAGGCCCATAAGTGAGGTCCCCCCCCCCAACCGTGGGCAAGCACCAGTGTGTAAACAACGGTCACCTGAACCTACAGACAATGGGCACCCACCTGCACTGAGGGCAGGACCCCAGCTGGGCAGGATCCCACACCTTATGGGAAGATAGGTGCTGACACAGAATGGCCTGGACTCTGGATGCCTGGACCCTTGCTTATCCCTGGTCTACTGAACATGCCTTGGGCCCTCCCAGGCCCATGTCATTGTCTCTCAAACAAGGGGTTCAGGGCTAGCCTAGCACCCAGGGTGTACTCACATGGGAGTGTGGCCTCTTCCCTGGGAGTTAAGCCCAAGCCTCCCAGTGCTGCCTCTGCTTTGGACACCAGGCCCATAAGCCACTGACATCCCACAGACCAGGTCCCAATCTGTCCTCTCTAGAGAACCCCTGGACCCCCAAGAGGACTGAATTGGCACCAGTGGCCCAAGCTGCCTCCTGGCCAAGGACCCCCAGCTATGGATGGAAGCGTCCAGGGCAACTTCCCTGTGTGGTGCTCCAGAAAAGTTACCACCGTGCTACTTGGGAACCTCCGTCCTCCTCTGTGGAAGATGCTGCTCCTCCCATGGGACTGGCCATTTCCCTGGACCTGCCTCTACCTGTTCCCCATGCTTCCCACGCTCCCCTCTACCCACCCTGCCTTCCCACTGAAACCCAACTCAGATTACTCTGGGACACCTTCCCAGACCCTAGCCTGGCTCTGCATCCTTGAACTCTGACTGGGGATGCCAAAGCCTATCAGGAACCTTCCCTCCTGGGCCACTATGGGTGTCTGTTGCCCCAGCTCTCCCTGCAGCTGGGTATGGGTGTGGCCTGGGGGCGCTGCTATGATGTGACCTGCCAGACTCATCTGACCCACACAGATGACACCACTGGGCCCCAATGTCCTGCTGAGCAGGACCATGGTTTCCAACACCCATATACAGGTGTGCGTGCTCTTCATGGGCAGAGGCAGCCTCCCCTCGGCACCACATACAGGGTCCCTGCTGGCCAGCTGCCGGGCGTGCTGGTGTTGCCTCAAGTTCCCCAGGAACCCACAGTCAGGGTCAGGGTTGACAATGTCATCACTGTTACCCTGGTGTCCTCAACCCACACTGCACTGGAGTTTTCACTGCACACGGAAACTGCACTAAGCATGCGTAGACAGCACTGACTTGATCCTCTTAAAAGACATTGACATTTCTTCCCACTTTATACAAGAGACAAGTAAGGTCCAGCAGTTGCATAATATGTCCGTAGAGCTGGTCAGGGTCCTCAGGCTGGGCTCTGGCTTCTCTGTGCCGTGGGCCCAAGTGGACGTGGGTTGAGATTGGTGTGTGTCCACTTGCACAAGCGCCCACAGGCACTGCCCTTCCTGTGCACCTCACCGTAAACTGCCTGGGTTTACAAAGGATTCAAGTGGCTCATCCCACAGGCCTGCTGTCGAGGCTGAGAAGCTTCCTGGGACAGAGGTCACAGACCCCCTGTCTGCTGAGCGACTAGAACTAGGAAAGCCAGAACGGAGGCCACAGTGTTTGCCACAGCTGGGGATGGCGTCCGTGGCCCAGACCCTCACTGCAAACCCCAGCCACCTCCCAGCCCTGCTTGGGCACTGCCAAAGGCCCCGTGACTCCTGAGCTCCCTACTCGGTGACCCCTGTCAAGGTGCACACTCTTGTGATGCTTGCTGCCAGGCCGTGGGTGGGGAGCCTCTGTTCACATGCACCCTCGGCGCTGAGTGTTCTTCTCAGGTCCTCTTAGAACCTGGCTTCCAGCTCCGTGGCACCTGCCAGCAGGCATACAGAAGAAGCGTGGCAGGTTGAGGGGAGTCCTGGCCAGGACGGGGGCTCTCAGGAGCACATAGTGACTGCAGGCCCAGGACCTCCCATGGAGAAAGGGGATCAGGAGGCTGCCGGCTCTGGGTAGCACTCTCCATCAGCCAGCCAGTTAGGGTCCTCGCGGGCCTGCCTCCTCCACAGCTGGCCCAGAGGCCCATGGCACCCCCTCTTCCACTCCACAGATGAACTCCCCTCCCTACTGCTGCCACCCTGGCCCAGCCCCTGCCTGCTGCCATCACTCGCCTAGCTGAGGACAGTGCCTCATCACAGGGCTCCTACTTCTTCTTCTTTTTTTTTTTTTAGCGTTTATTTACTTTTGAGAGAGAAAGAGCACAAGCCAGGGAGCTGCAGAGAGAGAGGGAGGCACAGAATCTGAAGCAGGCTCCAGGCTCTGAGCTGTCAGCACAGAGCCCAAAGCGGGGCTTGAACACACCATCTGTGAGATCATGACCTGAGTCGGTCAGATGCTCAACCCACTGAGCCATCCAGGTGCCCCACAGGGCTCCTACTTCTGCACCCACCCCGGCGACTCCCCAACAGAGGAGCCTGCAGAAATGAAGGCAGAATATGGGCCTCCTCTGCTGAACCCCCAGGGCCCCACCCTCTGGGAATAAAATCCACATTCCTCCTCAGGGAGGAGCCCGCAGCCCTCGGGGCATCTGGAGGACAGTTGCCTATCAGGTATGGCATGGCCCACCCTCCCAAATCTCAGTCCACCTAAATGAGCACCCATCACTCTCCACTCTGCTAAACTGCCTCCATGTCCTCTGCCCTCCTTGGAAGGCAGCTCCGCGGAGGCTGGGGCCTTGCTTGTGATGTCTTCCTGGTGAGTGAGGATGCATTAGCCACTTGTGGGCTACAGGACGTGGCACCAGGAAACCCCGCGTGCCCCTCCCCGCACCTCCTAGCTTCCCCAGGCCTGGGGTGTCTGTCACCCACAGTGCCTCCAGGAGGGCTGCCTCCCAGGCGGAGGTCCTGCGCGGAGCCTCACCGGGATCTTGAAGGCGTCCACAGAGACCTGGTTCTCCATGGAGTCCATAGAGGGCCGGCGGGCGCCGGACGAGGAGTAGCTGACCGGGAAGGCCTGGGCAGGCCGGCGGAAGGTCATCTCAGCAGAGGCAATGGGTGGCTTGTGGGCATTCTTGTGGTAGCGGTGGATGCAGAAGGTGGAGAGCAGCATGGAGACGACGAAGGAGAAGAGCACAGCGGCTGCGATCACCGTGCGGCAGAGCTCGTCACACAGCGGCTCTGCAGGCAGGGGCGGCCGTGAGGGACAGCGCTCTGCGAGGGTGCCCCGATACCAAAGGGCACCAGCGTGGCATGACTGCAGCAGCGGGAGGACTGCTGTGACAAGGTGGGCGGCCCGGCAAGTGTGGCAGCGCGAAGTCGTGAGCATAACGCACTCACACGGCACCGACCGCTTGGCAGGTCGCTTTCCCTGCGGAGACTGCTATCACCCTCCTACGGAAGGGCCAGAAGGCACAGGGGGTTTAAGCAGCCTGGCCGAGGCCACCCAGCAGAGGCAGTGTATGCACTGTGCTAGCCCTGGGATGCTGGCAGCCGGGGGGCTGGCAGGCAGGCAGGAAGGGTTCCTGCCTCTGCTGTGTTCCCAGTGGATTGTCTTTGTAAAACTGGGAGAGGGAAGGAAAGCGGCTCAGGGCCTAGTGCCATGCCGCAACAACTCAAATACAAGAAAAACATCCCTGGGCCCAGGCAGGAAAGCTTCCCGTGTGCTCAGACCCATGCCACCTACCCGCACCTGCTGGCCCAGAAGGAGCACCTGGAGGCTATGGCTGGGAGAGTGGGGTTCCAGTCAGATGGTGCCATGGGCCCAGAGAAGGCCCTGCGCAAGGACAAACTGAATAGATGTGGAGTTACTAGGTGGAAGAATTTTCCAGCCCAACCTTTACCATGAAACTTCAGGGCAGAAAACTTACTCTGTAGAGGCCCTGACCTAGATGCCTCTGCACAGATGAGGGAACCGAGGCCCAGAGGGAAGGAGGAGGGTCCCCCGGGGTTTCACTTGCCTTCCTGCAATTTCCTCCCTGGCTCTTTGGGGCTCAGGGAGGTGTGGGGAGCCCTGCCCTGCATATGGCCCCCGCAGTGCCCCCCACCCACTCACCCTGGCTGTCTTCAGGTTCGCAGAAGCACTTCTTCTCCTCTGGGAAACAGTTGCAGATACCGAAGCCAGCTTTAATCCCCCAGCGCTCCCCTGGCTCATGCCCACCAATGATGCTGCCGCCCCCTGGTGACAGATGTAGCCCACTAAGCCTCCTGGTGTGACCAAACCAACCAGGACCACCCAGGAAGAAGCATGAGCAGTCCCTCTGCACATGATGTCAGCATATTAGGCCAAGGGGTGGGGTGGGTAGGAGACATGGGGGTAGGTGGGGGTGGGAAGGGTAGTGAGCTCTGAAGTCTGGGTCACCTGGGCAGGAATCAGCACAGTCTGCCCCCAATCCAGTGGCCCCAGCAGGTAGAAGAAGGCCCCTACAGGCTGTCCAGGGCCCTCGCTGAGGTCCACACATAGTTACTTTTCAGAAGCAGAAGGAAGCCAGGACAATCAGGGGTTGGGAGCTGTACCCATGTGAGCTGCCCAGGGAGACACTGGAGAGTGTTGGTCCAGGCACCAGTCTCCAGAGGTTTTTTTTTGGTTTGTTTTGTTTTTTTTTTTGTTTTGTTTTGTTTTTTTGTGGGAGGTGGTGCAAAGCCCTTTGTTCAAATGAAATGTTAGAAAAAGTCTTGGCAAAAAAATCCAGGCATAAGGCTTGTCTGGCTGAAGTGCAGGTGGGAGTCCAAGCCTCTCCCTCCCGCTGGCTACTCCCACCCACCCGGGGCCCTTGAACTTGCGGGCCCAGTAGTTGCTTACGGAGGCAGTCCTGGGGGCAGATGTTGACATTTCTGCTCTCCACGGCATCACAGTGGCCGTCGGGGCAGGTCTTGATGCTGGGGGAGCAGGTGGAGAAGTTCCTGGTGATTCCTACGACACACGGCAGGCTGGTCACTACCACAAGGTCAGATGGCCAGGGCCAGAAGGGCGGCACCCCAGGGCCTCCCAGGCCAACCCTGTTCCCCCTAAAGGAGCAAACTGAGGCCCAAGCAGAGAATCCGTGAGTGGGATCCATGGGGTGGTGGGCACAGTTCAGAATTTGCTGCCATCTACACCCAAGCCCTACTGCCTGGGGCCACATCCCAACTTTGGCCCAGACCTTCCAACACCCAAGAGGACCTGTGGTCCCATGGCGATGAGAAGACTGCACGTCCTTGTGCCGCCCATGCTCTGTGTTCATGCTCACCCTCTCCTGACATCAGGAACTACAAACGGGGACAAAGTTCTGGAGAACACGTGGAGAGGGGAGGGCCATCACAGTGGCCGGCAGGGCCTACATGGACCCCATTTCCACTCAGCCACCATTACCCCTCTCCCCCGCCTGGCCGCAGGCCCCTGGCTCTGCGTGGGGCCTACCTTTGCCATCTCCCTGTCTCCACTCGCACCTGCCCGTCAGAGAGCCCAGGCCACCGCACTCCTCACATTCAGGGCGTCTCTTGCTGACTGCACAGGACAGGGGGCAGCCTGGCTCCTCAGCCACATCTGGGGGTGGCAGAAAGCTGGTCACAGAGGGCTGGCCTGGGCCCGGTGTCCAGCCAGCATCCAGGGGCAGAGGGAAGCACTGGCCAAGCTTCTCTCATGGGTGAGGCTAGAGGGGTGGGGGTGCCTCTGCATCAGGGCACAGGGCAGTGATGGGGCCCACTGAGGAAGTAGGGTGGTACCACAGTCACAGCAAGGGGTGGGGCAGCTACTGGGCTAAGCATGGAGGGAGGATGTGACAGGGCTACACTCAGCCAAAGATACACATGCACGGTTACACCTGAATTTCAGAGAGAACACTGAATGCTTGCTTTGTGTAAGTACATCCCTAACACTGCATCGACACACTTGGAAGTCTGCAAATGTTGTGTGGGACATACTTACAACAAGAATTGCTTGTTGCTTACCTGAAATTTAAATTTAACCAGGGTCCTGTATTTTATCTGGCAGTCCTATAGCAAGGGCGTGTATAGAATGCACTGGCAGTGGTGACGGGGAATAGTGACCTTTCACTACTCAGTCACTCTGGGCTAAGCTGTTTTATACTTTCTCCTTGTCACCCTTCCCGCTTGGCTATGCAGCGGGCACTCTTAGTCTCATTTTGCAGGGAAGGAGACTCGCGCCCAGGGGCACTGCCATTGGGTGAAGGGGGCAGGCCCAGGCCACTTCTATGAGGGAAGCCCATGACTCTACCTTACCCTGCCCATCTCCATCCTCCACGCGGCCCCGGCACTCACATGTCCCCTCCACGGTGACAACCAGCAGGGCCTGGGTCTGCTTGCGGGTTGGCCGGTCGGCAGCCACTACCGTGTACCGGAGTTGAGAGCAATTGGGCCGCTGCAGGGCTTCTGTGTCGTTCACGAAAAGGTTCCCTGTGGTGTCCTCGGCTGAGGTGACCACCCCCAGGACACTGCAGTTGGTGCTGGAGAGCTGCAGCCTGTACTGCACGTGGATGCCGCTGAACTCCTGGCAGTTTTCCACACAGACTTTCCCAATCTAGGCACGGGGCACAGGAAATGCCTCAGCTGGGTGCGGCACTGGCTCGTGATGGTGGCTGGAGGGGCCCCTGGCCGGCCTGAGTCCTGGAACAGTCCCCTACGGGCTCCAGGTATGACAGACCCCCCTCAAGTCCCCATCCTCCATGCCCCTGGAACCTGCAGACCCATCCAGATGCCTGGCCCTCCCCTGCCCTGCCCATCACACCACCGCCTACCTCCTGGGGGCCAGAGGTGGAAGAACTCAGGGCCCTGCCTCCAGGCGGGTGCCCACTCTCCCGGCTCATTCTTTACTCACCGGCTCCTTGAGGCACGAAGGCCGATTGGGTCCCCCTCCTCCCCTCCCCGACTTCTGGCCAGGCCGGTTTTGTTATGGGGACCACTGACTGCCATCCTCAGTGCATGTGGCCCGGTTGCTCCAGGTCACCTGCCTGGTCGGTCAGAGCACCGTGCCCAGGCCACATGATTCTGCCTGTCCCACACGAGACCCAGGGGCCTTCCTGGCACTCTGGCTGGAACCGCTGGGAAAGAGGGGATGCTTCTCCAGGGGATGCTAGGCAGGTAGTGCCATTGCTGGGGCCCGGAACGCTCCTTACCCCTCGGCCACTGAAGTTCAAATTAGACACTGGTTTCAGTGGCTTAAAAGCAGGAGCTCTGACTAGTCAAGGCCAGGGGGCAGAGAGCAGGGTGGGGCCTGGCCTGCAGCCACTTAGCAGGTGTTCACTCAGCCCTGCTTAGGCCCAGGGCACAGCCAGGTTCCTCCACACACAGGCCCGACACCATAATAAAACTACTACCTCCTAGATCTCCCAGCACATTCCCATATAAAATGTGCTTACTTCCACTCTCTGATACGGTCCTCAAAACTGCCCAAGGTCACTATCCTTAACTTACAGTCACAAAGACCGGGGAGGGGGGTGAAAGATCACAGTGAGTGTGAGGCCATATTGGGACTCAAGTCCCTCTGATCTCAAGTCTGCTAGAGCACAGGTGACACACCTCTTACAGTATTTGCTTCCATTTGGCACCCCCTCAGAGACCCCTCGGACCCCTCTGCCTTGTTACCTCCCACCACCCTTGACCTCTGCTTCCATGAAAGGTCCGGGGTTGGGTGGCAGGTCAGGGAGCTTGGATATGTCCAAGGGTGGGGTCCTTTGTGTGCTGGACCCGGGTGGCTGTCAGGAGTGGAGGGTGCATGGGAACCAACAACAGAAACGGGGACAACTGGAGATGGCCTTAAACATGACATTCTGAAGAGGTGTATCCGAAGCTGCTCCATTACGAAAGAGCAGTATGTGAAGTCATATGCATGCTGTAATGCCAAGTAAAACTACAAAAATCCTTAAGAGAAACATTCTAGAAAGAACTGTACTAAAATGCTAAATACTAGTTGATAGGGAGAGAAGGGATCTCTCCTCACTGTCCTGCATCTTTTTTAACGGATACTTACTACTTTATGTTTTTTTTTTCACTTCTGTTATTTTCCAATGACAAATGAAAGATAAGCTCTAGTAAACGCACATGCAGAAGGCAAAGTGGAAGTGCTCCCCACCTTTCCCAGCAGAGGGCGCCACTGTTACTTGCTGCCTGCATTCACACGCTTGCAAATTCCATCAATGAAAATTTGTTTTTGAACATACGGAGTCATGGGAGGCCAGTATTTTTACAAATCACTTTTCACTTAACAATCCACCAGGAGCATCTTTCCAAGTCAGCCTACGTAGATTTGGCTGGCATTGCTTTTACAGTTGGACAAAATATGTTTTAAAAATACAAAGGAAGAAGGCCACAAAGAGGTCCATGGTGCCCACTAGCCCTACCCTTGTGACTCTGTCAACTCTGTCATGGCCCCAGCCTCCCTGGCCCCGTGCCCGTGGCTTCCCCTGGACCACTCTGTGTACACGTTAGGCCAGGGAGGGAGTGTCTCTCAACACCAGCCCTGCTTGCAATCTGTAAAATAGAGTGCCCCACCCTGGGGGTCCTCGGTCCCTCCATGCCCCTCCCCAGGTAGGCACTGGGCTGTGGGCTCACCTGGGCAAAGCGGCGGGCCCGCCTGCTCACAGTGAAGATGTAGGTGCTGGGCAAGTGCAAGCTGACAGGCAGCACGGACACGTTGAAGTGGAGGAAGAGGGTGCCCTCCCCGGGGCCCTGGAAGTCCGAGTCATTGACCAGCACGGTCAGCTGCAGGGAGCGGTTCTCCGAGATGGGGAGGCTCCGGTTGAGAACCAGCCCTGTGGGTGGGGGCACGGTGATGACTGCCTGGGCCCACTGCCCCGTGCCACTGCGTGCCTCCTCCCAGCCATGTCCCCGGCACATATACAAATGGGTGCAAACACAGATTTTCACACATATGGTGCATGGATAACAGATGTGGCTAAGTCAGAACCACTGTTTAAATGTTAACCGTTGTGCTGAGCTGGAAGCTGAGAAAATCCTTCTCAGCTGGGAGGTAACCTGTATGTGTGTGTGGTACGTGTTATGGGGTGTCTGTGTGTTGTGTATAGTGTATATGTATGTATATGTGGTAGGTATCGGGTATGCACGTGGAATGTGTACGTGTGGAGCATGTATGTGTGGGTGTACACGGGGTAAAGATGTACCACCACCGAGGCCCTGGGAAAACTATACTGGCCTCCATTCCCCCAGAGAACTCCTCCCAACAGCAGCAGCCTCCAGCGGAGTCCTGGACTCCACAGGCCCCCAGTGCTCGGAGCCTGCACGCTTCCGTGCACCTGCTGAATGGCGTGGCTGTGGTTCTAGTTTCACAGAGCCAGGAGGATGAGGGTCAGGAGGTTTTGGTACACAGGGTGTTTAGAGTGAATGAGCCCGGGCAAGGATGACATTTCCCCTTGTACAGGGCAGGAGACCTTCAACAGCTCAGAGTGTGTGAGGAAGATGAGAAACAAAAAGGATCAGGCCAGGCAGAAAGGGGTAAAGGTACCAGCGATTCTGGGTTCCCCCAGAAGCAGATCCCAAAACAAGGATTCAAGTGCAACTAGGGTATTTGGAAGGATAATCCCAGAAAACATGGGCAGGAGGGTGGGGGGGGGGGAGGCAAGGCAGCTGATGAAGATGCCCCATCCTGCAAGGGAGCACAGCAGGCCCCTGGAGCTTAACCCTGTGGGAGCCAGACAGGACAATCTTTGCAGGATCCTCTGGCTCAAGCACACAGAGATGCTACCGGGTACTAACCTCTGCGAGTAGAGAGCTATGGGGACTAGGGAGAAATAATCCCCAGGTACTTGGCCACCTCGGAGGCAGCAAAGCAGATGCCAGGAGCCAGAGGAAGGCCTCAGGAAACGATGTATTTGTTTGTAGCGGGCAGTGAACCCTGGCATGGGGAAACGTGGGAGGGTCCCGCCAAGGCCTGCCACGAGGCAGTTCAGTGAGAGAACAAAGCCGGTAAAAACCCACCAAGGTGGCCAAGGTGAGACCAGTGGAAGATGAGGAAGGGCTGGGTGGAGTGGAAGGATCTTCATCCTAGGGCTCAGAGAGCAAGGACAAGTATCTGTGTTTGTAGGATGCTACAAGGGTGGGATTCCCTAGGGGGCCCAGCCAGGCCATGCCTGGTCCCTCTTACTGTAGTCATGCACAGTTGCCCGCACAAAGCTGCCGTTGGCCTGGGCCAAGGTCTCGTTGGGGGAGTGCTCGATACGGAATGTCTGGAGGACCCAGGCATCCCCAGAGAGTAGTGTGTTTGTGTATCGCTTCAGGAGCTCCCCGGATGCCGGCACCACGTCTGCATCGAAGACACGTATTTTGGCCACCACAGTGCCCTGCAGAAAGTAGGGGGTGCCAGTCAGAGCTGGTGAGAGGGACCCCTCAGAGACCCTGTAAGCCTGAGACTTCAGGAGGGCACGTGCACCAAAGGCGGGGCAAATGTGCACACTCAGAGCCAGTTCTAAGGACACACTGGCCTGGATTCAAGTTCCCAGAGGGTCCCTTGCCAATCTGGCTCAGTCACCCTCCCTGGGCCACTGTGCCTCACTTGTGCAACAGGTGTGACAGACATCTACAGATTTCCCCTAAGAATGGATGAGAGCAGATGCCCAGGTGCTTTGCTGATAGGCTTCACCCAGGTCTCCATGAAGCACAGCAAGCCGGGCCCCACAGGGTGGAGGAGTTAGCTCACTGTCACATAGTGATAGATGGCAGAGCCAGATCCAAGCCCAGGTGTACATCAAAATGTCCTCCTCCAAGGACCTTCTGTATACCAGGCTGGAGGGAATCATGAGGAGAGCTCTGAGCAGTCACAGGGCATCTCTGCTTTCACTGCTAACCAGACTCCTTGCTGTCACCCCAAGGCAGCCCTTCCAAGCTCATGCGACCTTTACCAGTGAGACGTGCTTTCCTCCCATCTGCCCATCTACCACTTGGGGTGCCTAGAGAGGCAAGTGACGGACAACACATTTCCCATTGTGCCTTTGGCCAGCCGGCTGCAGGACGGCCCAATGCCCAGCAGGTGGCAGTCACGATCCGCCTGCAGGGAGGTGGGTGGGCCTGCTGTGCTGGGAGCGGCACTTGCCAGTCTGATGCACTCCCTGGCCACCCTCCACGAGCCTCTACCGCCCTCTAGTGACAGCTGACACAGTGGAAGGGAGTGCCCTTCTGGCAGCTGTCCTCTCCCCCTCAGAGCAGCACCGCTGTGCCCACGGGCAGAGGCACAGGTACACCCCTGACAGGAACGCCCGCCCTTGGCTTTGACAGCCTGGTCAGACACATGCTAGGCATTCAGGGCGCCCGGACATTCATCAGAGGACAGCCAGGCTGACCTCCCCCCTCCTCCTCAGCTACCCCCAAGACAGGAAGAAAGCCCCAACAGACAGTTGGATGGACCAATAAAAGACGAATAGCTAGACGGATGGTCAGCCACATGGACAGCTGAACAGACCAAGGAATAAATGGTGGACAGAATGGCAGACACCCAACAGATGGACGACACAAAACAGACAAGCCCAAGGGCGGCAGACAGGCACCTCCTTCCTCTTGAACTCCACCACAGCGCTGGCGGTGTCGATGCCCCCGAGGAAGGTGGGCGCCGAGTCGTCCTCATCATACACGGTCACGGGGAAGGGTACCATCACCACCTCCTCCTTGCGTGCGCCGACGCGCACCGTGCAAGCAGCCACCAGCTCGTACTTCTCCCGCAGCTCGCGATCCAGGGGCCAGCGCGTGCTCACCTCCAGGCTGTCCGGGGCGCAGTGGAAGGGCAGGTTCTCACCTATGCACCAAGCAGACCAGGAACCCCAACATGACTCCGGGGCAGGGAGGAGGCTGGGGAGGGGGGCAGGGCGAGCTGCCTTTTTCAGGGGCCCTGCCAGTGGGTCAGAGTTGCGGAGCATGCTGGCCCCGCCCTGAACTACTCCTCCTGGGCGCTGGCGGTGGTGGGTGTGGAACTTCAGGCACGGGTTTGCAGTGATGACCGTGCACTAACCAGCTGTCCTGTGCCTGCCCCCTTCACTCGTGCTGCTGGAGACACGCAGGAACCAGGAGGCCTGCATCAAGTCCTCACCCTGATAACCTAGGGAAGGCTGCTCACACTACTTGCCCAACCCCCAACCTTGCCTCTCTGGGGGGCGGGGACAGCTGTGTCTCTGGCTGTGTGATCCCAGACTGGTCGTTCGGCCTCTCTGTGCCTCAGTTTGCTCACCGAGAGATGGGATGATGAAGGCTAACATGCCTGCTCCTGACCAGGCGCTGCTACGTGGTCAGTGACTTATGTACCTTCCCGCTACCCGCTGAGGGGAGGGCCAGTCACCATGGTACACTCTTCAGCCCAAGCCTGTCCTGAAATTCATCCTCCAGGAATAACTCGGAAAAGGGGAAACGCTGAGGGCTTGAAGGTCAACACTGACTGCCCCCACAGCCAACCAGGAAGGGTTAGGCCAGCTCCATTCGGTGGGAAATCAAAAGTCCCTTCCCTCTCCTCAAAGCCACATATTACATGTGGATTACATGTGGGAAATGCTTATGATATAATGTTTCTCTCTGATGTTTGTGACTACAAAAAACACGCTCAAAAAAATTTGATGATGTAACCTTTATGAGGAAGGGCAGCATGCTCAGCCTTACGTTTGGCTAACAATCCTGCACAAAGACACCCATCCCTGCTGCGGGGCAGTGTGAGGATGCTGGGGGAGTGGGTGGCTACTTTTCTTCTCTTACTGAGATTTTCTGTAACATGATTACCTCATTACGGTGTGAACGGTAAACCTGCTGTGAAGCCAGGTTCCTCTTACTACTAGCAGTCTACCTTCTGGGTCCCAGTTCTTTGCTTTTGAGTATTTTAATGGCGCCTCCCATCGGAGGTCTGCTCAGGTGCCCCCTCTCACCTCCACTGGGACTCATCCACCATCCCCACCTTGGCTGGCCTCCCCAGGGCCATCTTGTGGCAAAGTCTACTGCCCTTGCAGCTGCTTAGGCAGAATCCTGGAGCCACACTAGCTCCCCCTTCCCCTCAACACCCACACCCAACTCCTCAAGAAATCCTGCTGGGTCTTCCTTCATAACATGCCCAGAAGCTGCCTGCTTTTCATGTCCCTGTGGCCTTTCATCCTTCTTCCGGTCTCTATCTTCTTGCTCAGGGATTTCTCAGGTAGCCTCCTAACCGTTTCCCCACTTCCACCCTACGCTGCCCCGTACCAAATCATTCCTAGCACAGCAGCCAGAATAATCCTTTAGAGGTAGGTCAGGTCTGGCCAAGCCCCCCTTCCCGACAAGCCTTCCATGACTCCCCAGTCCCTCAAGGGGAAACCCTCAAGAATTTCTCTGTTCTCATGCACCTCCACTGCCTCTTGTCGCTCACTCCACTCCAGCTATACAGGGGCTCCACTGCATGGATCTCAAAGGGGCCAGCCCAGCTTGCCTGGGGCCCTCCCACCTCTACTCCAGCTCTCCCTTCCCCAGCCACAAGATTTAAGACTGCAGTCTCCACCCCTCTATATCCTTGGAGCTTTACTTCCCACATAGCACCTTCCAGAAGCCACCCCATTTCCTTGGCATGTGCATGGTCTCCATCTCCCAGGGAAATGGAGGCTGCGGGCAGGCAGGATTTTGACTTTAGTTCACTGTCACATCCTTAGCCCCTAGAACAGTACCTAGTCCCTGACAGGCCATCATCCATGACAAGAAATATTTCTGGAATACTAAATGAGCGGGTGGTATGGTGGTGGAGAATAAACCAGATGGCTCATATCAAGGGCTAGTGGTCCTGTGCTCGGCACATAGCAGGCATTGAGGATGGCCCTACAAGGCCGGCACTCACCTTCTAGGAGCCTGTAGGCCACGCTGATGTTGGGGCAGAGGAACTGCACAGGCAGCAGGCGGAACTGGTGGAAAGTGCCAGGAGGCCTATTCTCTCTGATGCGGAAGGAGACACCTGTCTCAGGAAAGCAGAGCTCCCGGGGTTTGAGGGAACCACAAGCCGGGAAGGAGGTGTTGACAAAGGAGAAGTACACACGGGCACAGCCGGGCCATTGGCACTCGCCCTCACGCAGGGATGTAGGTGACAGGAAGACCTGGAGGTAGATGGTGAGCACAGGGAAGCCGCCATCTGCAGAGAAAGAAGTCAGGTCTGGTGGGGCATCAGCCACATCTACAGGTGGTAGGGAACAGCATGGGGAAGGGACAGGAGCTGGCTGCAGGGCTAGTGTAAAGCCCAGTCCTCACGGTTGTCCACAGGATTCCACTGGGCTCTCTGCACCCCACCACCGACTTCCCTGGACCTGGGGCATGTCTGTGCTTCAGGGTCCCATGGTTCTGCTCCCTCTGCCTGGAAGTACCTGGCAGGCCCGCCTCTCTTGTCATTCAGGTCTCAGCTCAAATACTGCTTCCTCAGGTGCCCTGAGCACTGGGGTCTATTGTTCCCCCTAATTCTCCCCACATCATTGCCCCCCGCAGAGGGGTGCCCTGAGCCCTGGGTCCAACTCCCCAGGCTGGTGCCTACTGCATGTGGTGATCAGCAGGCCACTCCCTTCCACACCCTCCCCAAGGGCTTTCATTGTGGAGCCACCTCTCCACAGACTTCCCCAGCACCTGGAGGGGGAATTTCCAGCAAATTCCATCATGGAGGCTCTTTCTCCAACAAGGTCTGGATCTCTGCCACAGTGACAGGGACGCTTCCTGGGCCCTCTCTCTCAGCCCTAGGGTAGTGGCTACTCCCCCACATCTCCTCCTCCCATATTCATTAGAGTTCTCTTTGCTTCTTACCAGCCTGTCCTTTGTTGCTTCAATCCCGGGCTGTAGTTAACCATTCTCTATACAAACTTGCCCTGTTCAAGTTACCGTGTGGTTTCTCTCCTGACTGGACTTAACAGGTGCAATCACGAACAGAACAGGCCTCCTATGAAAAGGGGCACCTTGGCAAATTCCACTCTGGCCTCTGCCCCTGGAGCCCTAGTTCAAGATCCCCACAGGGGCTTGGGATGAAGACGGCAGCGGTTAAGTGTGCACGGAACCGAGATCCATTTCAGATGCCACCTCCTCCAGAACTGGGGGTACGTGGTGGGGGGCTCCGTCATGTGACCCTGGCTTTACCTGGCAGACAGGGGTGCAATCACTCTGTCCTGCTGGGCAGTGCCGCCCACTCTGCATGCATAGGCATGCCACCTGCCTCTTGCCCGTATGAGGGGGCTCAGGGCTGGTGGGAGCAGGCAGTGAGGCCATGTCTTTGGAGGAGATGCTTGGAGGTGGGGAGCTACTGGGTATGTGAACACCATTTTGCACCACCAGGCAAAGCTGCTGCACCCCCCCAGGACCAGGGTCACATGTGGCCTCTGTTCTGCTCTGTCCCCGACTCTGAGGAGCTGGCCAGGCCCTCCTTCCACACCACTTTCCTCCCAAGCACCAGGCTGGAGTCCCCACCAGGGACCAAGGGTAGCCTGTTGCGGATGGGAAGACAAGCTTTCTGCAGAACTGCTCCTTCCCCGGGAAGTTCCAGATCATTTGCTAAATCAAAAACCTTCTGATTTTTCTAGCCCCTTTTAACCCCTCTTATAACCCCAAATCCTGGTCGCCCAACTGGAAAAGCCATCTGAGTCCAGCATAGAGAGAGCACCCAATCCTTCCCAGGGGTTCTCCAAAATCCCAACAGACTTAGGAGGCCCAAGGATCATCAGCAGCCCCCAAACTCATCCGTGCCCTGGCCTGGCTGGACACACAGGCAGGCCAGCCTCGCCTCACTCTTTACTCTGACACAACAGGAATTGCATAGCAACCACCCTCTTGAGCCTCCGCGTGGCTGTGAGAGGAGGAGAGGCATGAGGTGGGCTGTGGGAGAAGGAGACAGGCTGGGGGTAGGCAGCTCCCTTACTGCGGATGCTGAGCTTGTCCCAGGTGCTGTGATCCAGGCTCCGGTTAAGGTAGAGAAGGCCAGTGTCCTCCTCGATGCGAATCCAGTCGTTCTCATGCAGCCTTGCACGGTAGGCGATGCCGTAGAGGTGCTGGCCCAGGCGGAAGGTGGGCACCTCCTCCGGCATGTCCCGCAGGGCATGGACGTAGAGCAGGGGCATGCCAGCTGGCTGGTCCACGTAGAGTTTCTCCCAGTAAGCATCCCTGGCGAAGTAGAGTCCCAGCGGAGCTGGAGAAGGGAGGGAAGTGTGTGAGGGAGGGAGGGGTGACGATGATGTCCAGAGCAAGCCTCCCAGGCAGACCAGCATTCCCCAGCAGCTTTATTTCACACCTTGATAAAAGCTTCTTTGTGGACCAAAAAACTTCCTAATTTAGAATTCCAACCTAGCGTAAGGAATAGTTTGCCAGCAAAATCAGATGCAAGTGTTAAGTCTCCTCATTCTTAAATTAGAAGAGATATCATCCTCCATAATTTATAGGATTAAAGTCTTTCATACAGAAACAAATAAATAAATAAATAGATAAATAAGAAAATTCTGCTCCTAGTAGGACTTTCTCACCTGTAGTCCTAATAACATCAGCACACAACTATCTGTGTAGCTAAACACAAGCTGAAAACGGACTGCCTTAAAACAGAAAAAGAAAAGAGAGGAGGAAGAGGCAGTGTAAGACAACTGCAAAATCATTCTCAATTACCCAAGTTTGTTAAGTACGTGAATTGCACAGAGCTGGGAGTTCACATAGGCTTCTCAGCAAATCATCTGGATCCGGAGTTTTCTTTCTTTCAAAAAAATTTTTTAACGTTTCTTCATTTTTGAGAGAGAGAGACAGAGACAGAGACAGAGCGTGAGCAGGGGAGGGGCAGAGAGAGAGAGAGAGGGAGACACAGAATCTGAAGCAGGCTCCAGGCTCCGAGGAAGCGGTCAGCACAGAGCCTGATGCGGGGCTCGAACCCACAAACTGTGAGATCATGAACTGAGCCCAAGTCGGATGCTTATCTGACTGAGAGACCCAGTGCCCCTGGATCCAGAGTTTTCAAGTGAACAAGATGATGTCAGATAAGCAGGGCTGGCAGTAGTCACCAAAAATGAACCTGGGCACTTTCTAGAAGAGAAACAAACCTTTTCTAAAGTTAAACATACTCCTACCTTTGGACCCAGAAATCCTACTAAATTTATCCAAGAGAAATGAAAACACACGTCCATCAAATGACTTATTCACAAGTGGCAGGGTTATTCACGCAGCCAAGAACTGGAAACATCCCGGAAGCCCTTCAGCAGGTGAGTGGATAAGCAAAAAGTGGTTTTCACACCACGGAATCCTCTGCAGCGACAAGAAGGGATGAACTATGGAGACACATCACAGCCTGGAAAGCTCTCACAGACACCATGCCAAGAGGGAGAAGCCAGGCACAAAAGAATATACATGGCAGGATTCTAGGCTAATTTCAGGTGACGGAAAGTAGCCTGGCTACCTGGGGTGAGAGGAGACACAAGCCTGGGGGGGTGGGTGAAGGAAATTATTTCCGGGGATAAAGGCCCTGACCGCAGTGTGGGGGTCACATGGGCACATACATTTGCTGCCAATGTACAGCTGAGGGCTGTGCGTTTCGACTTCTGTAAAGTTTCCCCACAAACCTGACCACCAAGGCACTGTGGGTAGAGCTGTGGTTGCCACGAGAAGAGGATGCTGACCATGGCCTCCCTGGGTAAGCCCACGTAGGAGCTCACTCCTCTGCTGACTTTGTGCGTGTTCAACATCTCTCATAATGCAAAGTTTTCTGAAATAGTAAGAATTTTCAAGGAGGTGGATAAATAGGCAAACGATGCTTAAAAGCCACAAAAGCCCTGAAAACATAATGCATGGGAACTACCCAACACACAACGCAAACTTTAGGACTTTTCATGCACTTGTAGCCAATTTCTTTCTCTCTCTCTTTTTTAAATGTTTATTTATTTTGGGTGGGGAGAGACAGAGGATCCGAAGCGGGCTCCGTGCTGACAGGAGACAGCCTGGGCGATGCTTTACATGGTGGGCTCTAACCGTGAGATCGTGACCCGAGCCGAAGTCAGATGCTTAGCCGACTGAAGCACCCAGGTGCCCCGCCAACTTCCTTTCAATCAGCTTGTTTCCACCCAGACCCCAGCTCTCTTTTCAAGTAGCTGTCAGGGGTGAGTGCCAGGGGCCAGTTCAGCAGAGGAGACCCTTGGCCCTGCCTGCTCCAGTGTGGGTGCTGCCATGTCAGAGAGGCCTGGGCTGGGAAGGAGCAAGGGGGAAGGGGTGGGAGAGGGAGAGAGAAGGGAGAGAAGGAGAGAGAGAAGGGGGTAACAGGAAAGGGGGGAGGAGGGCGAGAGAGATGGTTTCGTCAGAGCCGAAGGCCTGGCCCTGCACACCCCACACTAAACACCGTGATGGGGGGACGTGGGGGTGGGGGTCGGGGGATGATGACAACACCCATAATGTGGTCTTTCAGACCTTTGGAAAGCCCCTCTCCAGGAGAGGTGTCCCTGGGGTGGGACCTAGAATTACTCAGTCCCTGTGGGTGAAGTTCAGGCAGGAGGAGCAGGCTAGGACCTCCAAGGAGCCCGCCTTTTGCTCTGAGCTGAAGTTTCCCAGGGGAAGGATCCACTGGGAGTGTCACATGGGCTGCCATTCAAGGGGGAGACAGCTAGTGGAGTACCATGAAGAAGCCACACTGGGGAATTCTGGGGAGGGAGTGCTGAGACCACACTCCCCCCACCCTGCGGTCTCGCTGGCAGAGAGCATGGTCCAGGAGGACACAGGTTCTCAGAGGCACTCAGGGCTGACCTCCTTGGGATTTAGCCGCTGATGCCAGCAGGGACAGGAGGGCAGCTCAGAGGGCTGTGTTGGCCCCAAAGGGCCACAAAACTGGCCTCTTGCTGCTCCTGCTGAAGGGTCAACTCATGGTACCAGCAGAGAGCTGAGCTGAGTGATGGGCCATGGCTGTCAGGTCCTCCAAGGGTCCCCGCACAGCTGGGATTCACTCCCGAGGCTTGCGTTTCCCAGAAGGGGCACTCACTCTTCCCACAGTGTGGGGGCCCAAAGAGGACCCTAGCAACCACTCAAGTCATGATGCAAAGACAGGAAAGCTCCCTGTGGGTGTCTCCTCACCCACAGGGAGGGGACAGTGGTGGAGGAGTTCCCGAAGGGGGTTGGCGGCCACCTCCCACTAGGAGCGTGCGGGAGCCCCCTCTGTGCTACCTGGCAGGGAAACCCCTGGCCTGCTTTCCCTTGCGGGGCCATCCGGCCTCCCTCCACAGGAATCTGGCATTATGGGGGCTCCCAACCCATGGCAGCATCCTGCCCCAGCGCCAGCATGGCCACGTCCCGGAAGGCAGGCTCAGAAGGGGGATCAGAGCTGGGCACAGCATGGCTGCTCCATGACAAGGGCCTGAATCATGAGCAGCAGCCAAGCTTCCTTATCCTCCAACATTCCATGAAGGTTCCAAGTCAGAGCATCCAGCAAGAGCCCTGGGGGAGGGGCTGAGGTGGGGGCGAGGCAAGTGATGCTCACTGCCCCATGGACAGAAAGAACGACTCCCCCTTCCCCCTGACCGTGTCCTGCCCCCATGACATTCTCTGAAGGGTCCGGCCCCCTGCAGCCTCCCGCTGCCTCTCAAAGGTGGAGTGTGGGGAGAGCACTGGATGGCTCTGGGAGGCAATTCCCCACGCATACCCACTGACCTTCCATCCTCTCCAGAGCCCCAGACAGAGGCACTGTCAGGACCACTGCTTTGCAAACACAGACACTGAGGCGGAAAGAAGGAAAGTCATTTGTTTGCTTAAGGGCACACGCACAGACAGAAAGAAACTGGAATTCGTAAAGCCGTCTTTCAGAGAGGCACATCCTTCACCAGCCCACTCAGCTTCCGGGGGCCCCCACAGCTGCCATGCTCTTGATCCCCAGTTGACCAGGCCTGGGCCCCCCCCCCTGCCCCACCCAGGGGGCCCTGCCTGCTGGGACAGGCTTTGCTCCCCGACAAAGTCCTCAGTGGTGCTAGGGCTCACTGCAAGTCAGGAACACCAGCTCAAGAGGGGAAGTGGACCCTGATGATATACCATGTCTCTGGGCAGCTCGGCACTTCCGGGTACAGAAAGGAGAGGAGACTGTAACTCCCAGGGGCCTCACAGGGTGGTGGCCAGGGGCAGTCTGGGCTTGTGACACCAACACCAGGTAAAGAGGGGGCTCAGCCCGGATGAGCGCTGCCGACCTCCTCAACGCCATGGCAGAAGGGCACACGCTAACCGCTAACACTCTGAGATGCTGCCCTTGGGCCTGAGCGCCCAGGGCTCCCCCCAGGGAACACTGCTGGGTCTACAGGATCGGCCATAGACACAGACCAGGGCAGCCTGTGTCTTCCAGAGCCCATCAGGCCACCAGCTTTCCTTAGGGTGCCCGACCCCTCCCTGGAGAGGTGGGGTGTGCGTTCTGGCCTCCAGAGTACCAGTGAGGGGCCGCTGCATGTCAGCTGAGCTTAAGTCATGAGACTCAATACAGCAGCTGCTGGACATTCTCTCAGCACCCACACTCCTGGCCCTGGTCAGCAGGGTAGAAGCCAGTAGAACCTGGCTGTTCTTGGCGTCACTGTGGGGAGGGCCTCTTGGGGGTGGTAACCCCTGAGGCTGCAGAAGGTCTTGTCAGATCTTGCTGGGGGAGCTACTCTACCCAGAGCACCTCACCTCGCAGGTACGTGGGAGCAGCTCCAGAACCCTGTGGGTGGCGGGGGGAGGGGGCCTCCCTGACTGCACATACTTCCAGTGGTACAGGGGCTGGGAGGCAGCACAGCCCGAGCTCCCAGAGCCCTCTCCCACCCCTCCTCCAGGCTGGTCACTGCCACACAGTCCACATGTGCGGGAGAAAATGGGGCCTGCCTGCTCTCATCTCAGGGAGGCCAGCCCTACGGGATCCGTGTGGGGCCCAATCTATTGCTGCCAGAAGGGATTTGTGGGTTGGGCGATGATTGTAAGCAGAAACAGACTTAAATGCACTTAAAATACCTCCCAGGTGGTCTCTGACGCAGGGCATGGCTCCCTTAATGCTCCTCAGTGTCACAGACACTTCTAGATGGAAAAACACGTGGTCCAAGGCAGGGAACTGAGGAGGTGGGTGCAGGGCCAGCCTCAGGGGGGTATAGCCTAGGCAGTCCCAAAGGGCCCCACACTTGGTTTAATGCTCTGATGTCACGGTTTTGAAATTCTTCACAATTCTAGAACGAGGAGTCCCCACCTTCATTCTACACGGGGCCCCACAAATGATGTAGCCAATCCTGGCAGGTGAATGAGGAGAGCCTGAGACGGGCCACTGGTGTCTACTTCCACAGGGCTGGCTGTGCAGCCTCTGCAGCCTCAGTTTCTCCAACTGTGAATCAGAGCAGGGCATGCTGGGGAGAGGAGCAGCCAGTGCAGGTTGCAGCCAGGCCTCACCTGTGCACAGGTATGTATTACACAAAGCTGCTAACTTCAGATTCACAGCCACTGTGTGCAGATCGCTTTACTACCCCATTTCACAGTTCGGAACACCGAAGCTGGGAGGTGGGAAGCCTTACCAAGGTCACTCGGCTGGAGGTTCTGAGACTCGGGATTTGGTACAAGGGCTAATGAAGTGGCAGCGGGAGTCAGGATAAAGGCAGACGCTGAGCCCACCAAGAGGCTCGCTGCTGGCAACTTTCTGCCAGGAAGGGCTGTCTGGCCTATGGGCTCAGAGTGGCCTCCAGTGAGGACCAAACCTGGCACTTTGGACAGGTCAACACAGAACTTGCAAAGCCTTCTGTACCCATCCCTCTCACCTGTGAATACCACAGGGTGTCGGAATCCTCCCCCCCGCACCTAGTCTAACATTTCTGTCTGGACAGAGTTGGCCAGCATCACCCTCTGGTGGCACCTCCTTGCACGTGGGTCTGGTTGCCCAGGCTGCCCCTGTTCCAAGGCACCACACTGAGGGGTGAGGAGCTGACCTTTCCTCACACAGCACAGGTGGGTCCCTCCCACACTGCTCATGGCACACCTGCCCAAGGCTGAAGTCACTGCTCATGTTCAAAGAGACCCCATCGGCTCCCACCCTGCCTGGCCCTGAAAGGGACTGGCTCCCACCCGTCCACAGCCTTGGCTCCACTGTGCCTTGGAGGATTGTCTCCAGCCAGCTCGAAGCTGCAGGCCAGTCCCGGCCCAAGCAACTCAGCCAACTTCCCCATGAGCAGTGGGCTGCTGTCCAGCTCCGCCAGCAGGCTCTGACCCCCGGCCGGGGAGCAGGGTCCTTCCCTGGGTGCCCTCAGCCTGAGGTAGCCCACAGAGCTCTCCTATGCCCACTGTTGTCCTCTCAACACAGATTAATAAGTTACGTTCACCTCTCCTGTTTCAACTGCTGTGTGAGTGCTGAATCCTCGGTGAGCCCGCACTCATACACACATCTCTCATGCACACACTCATTCTCTCACACACACACGGTTACATATTCACGCACACGTCCTGTGGCTCACTTAGGGTAGTGTGGTATAGCCTGGTCCTGACTGTGGGCTCACCTTCGCCAGCTCTCCATGGTCCTGGCCAGCCCTGGCCATCACGGCCACACACAGCTCACCCGAGGTGCCTCAGATTTCGGTGCCACCCTCTGTGGTGGTTGTGCCGCCCTCTGACCATGCCAGTCCGTATCTGGGCAGGCACTTCCTGGCCGGGTGCCCTTGGTCTCTCACCCCATCTTGGGGCCTGTCCTCCCGGCTGCTATGAACACTGGTGAGCCACACTCCCCGTGGCACACGCTCACCCTGCCAGAGAAGTGCAGAGAGCCCCCAACAACTAAAAATGTGCTGCACTGCAACATGAAAGTTGGAACTCAGGGCTCCTAAGAAAGAAAAAAAGAGTGAAACGGTTTGATCCAAGACCTGGGCAGGGTTAGCACTGTGTGCAGGGCAGGCCCTTCCTGCAGAATCCACTCTCTACACAGCCCTGGCTCCTGCCCTTGATGAGCGCCAGATCGTGTAGATGACAGTTTTATTATAACCCAGCAGAATCTCCTTAACAGACGATTTCCTAATGCCATCATCTTTGCTGGGAATGGGAAACAGACCTCACTGACTTCTCCCCAGGGGCAGCCCCTCCCCTGCAGGCCAGCTGTCCCTGGAGGGGGTCTCTCTAGCCCCCAAGACCCATGCTTGGCACTGTCACCCTCTCAGGATGTGGCCTGTCCACACCACGGCCCCTCCTCTATCACATTCACATTCTCTCTTTATTCTAATTGTATATTTGATATACACAAATACGTCATACAAAACATTTACACTGCAAGTAAATATAACCTCCCACCACCACCACCCCGAGCCCAAGGCCAACCTTACTGGACGCTTCGCAATGTTCCTGCCCCTCCCCGGTCCCCACCTTCCACTTCATCCCACTCACTTCGAACATGAACCTGGGTCTTGGGTTTCTCTTGCCTTAAAAAAAACTTTTTTTTTTTTTTTAAACCTTCTGCCTCATTCATGGAAGGTACTTCTGCTGTGTAGAGGATTCTGTAGGACAGTTATTTTCTCTCAGTCCCTCGGAGGACTTTTTTTTTTTCTTTTGCTTTTGTTGCTGCTGCTGAGAACTCTATCCTCATTCTACTTGTCACTCCTTAGTATTCCCTCTTCTCTCTGGCTCCTATCTGGTGTTCTCTCCAGTTGCACTACAATAAGCCAGGTGGCCAACCTCCTGCGCTGGTTTCCTCTCCCTCGCCGCCCCTCTGGGTGTCAGAAGCTCCTCGTTCTCTCTCCCTGTTCTCTGCTAGCAAACGGCAGTCAGTCCCACAGCATTTGTGGCCAGGTTCATGAGTCTTGTGCTGACAACTGCCATGTTCACACGCCCTGACTGACCTCCTCCTCGGTGCCAGGTGCAAATCTCCGCCATCTTGCTCCAGCCCCTCTCACATCTCAGTCCACTTAGAGGAGGACCCGGACCTCCCCCCCACCTACAGCCCGCCAGCCTGCTGCCATCTTTCCACCCCAGCCAGGGCACCTCCTACCTCACTGCTCAGAACACACACCTCAGGCTCACCTGGAGCCTGTCTGACTTCTACCCCTTCCACGAGCCCACAGACCGCCCTCTGCCATCCCCAATCGAAGTCGCATGCTCCCACACCTCCCTCACCTGGATGACACTGCCATAATGCTCAAGTGGCTTTCCTGCGCCTGCTCTCAACCCCACAGGCCACTTGTACAGAGCAACCAGGGTAAGTCGGCTCATGTCACCCTCTGCCTGACGCCCTGTATTAACTGTCCACTGCTTGCAGAATAGAACACAGCTCCTCACCAGGGGTGAGGCCCCAACTCACCTCCTCCCCACTCTCCTGGGCACCCACGTTCTAGTCGCATCAGCCAACTCACCACATCTGAGCTGAAAGAACAGACTAATGAGTGAACCAATGAACGCAACAAGGAAGGAACAAACCAATAAACACATGGTTTCATGGGGGAGGGGATGCTGGGTGTTTTTGGGAAATAGTCCAAATTTGGGATGGGAGAGGAGGTGGGGCTAGGATACTCTGGCTTGGTCTGATGGGCCCTGGGAGCCACAGGGGGACAGTCAGCAGCAGGATGAGCCAGAGAGAGTCATATGCACAAGACACACGAGGGACGTGGAGGGCCCTCTGGTGCACTGGCCATCTTGGTGAGGCCGGTGGTGGGTGCTGAGCCAACAGCCACCAGGCTGAGAACAAAACCTCTGATCCCAGCTCAGCAAATGACTTACTGGTGACTGAGGAGCACTGCCAACTGTAGGTGTTGGCCAGGATGTGTGTGCTCACTCACACACACACATGCACATAAGTGTGCGTGCACAGGCAGGGTCGCCCTGCAATCACTGTGCTTTGTCTCAGCTGGAGGCCCTGCTTTTACAAGGGATTGTGATGTCATTCAGCTTTTAGGAAAAAAGTACGGATCAAACTGCAAATCAAATTTATAAAGAACAAATCTGGGGAGGCACACAAAGGGAATCCCAGTTTTTAAAATTAATCACGGTAGAATACACATAAAATTTACCATCTTAAAAAAATTGTTTTTTCAATGTTTATTTTTGAGAGAGAGAGAGAGACAGAGACAGAGAATCCAAAGCAGGCTCTGGGCTCTGAGCTGTCAACACAGGGCCCAACGTGGGGCTTGAACCCATGAACTGCGAGATCGTGACCTGAGCCAAAGTTGGATGCCTAACTGACAGAAACCCAGGCACCCCTACAATTTATCATCTTAATTATTTTTAAGAAGGAACTGAAGGAGGGCTAGCTACTTCCTTGGTGCCCAATGAGGGCATTAGTCACATCACGGCAGTGCAACTTCAGTTTCAGTCTTCCATTCCTTCTTCCCAAAATGCTGCCAGCAGCCCTCGGGAGGCAGCCTATGCCACTATGGCCACAAGGCTGAGTGGCCTTCCTGGGGGTGCCTGGGCATACAGCAAGGGCAAGCTGGGTAGGCCCGGCACACAGGGAGGAACGAATGGGGATCCTGGCACACACAGTGGATGCCTGAGCTTTCAATAATGCGCTCTGGGGCTCTCGATGTTCCCAAAGGTTCTGTCTAGCACAATGCCCAGGGCTCCTGCCTGCCTGTCTGGCCAGGGACTTCGCACCAGCTCAGCTCTCGAGGTCCACATCATCCCTGCAGCCTAAGCCCTCACCGTGTGGTTCACGGTAGAGAAGGGCAGGAGACCCAACGTGGGGTGCGGTGTTCTCCCCACATACCTGTCCTCTTGGGCCCTGGCTGGGAAAGGTGGCCGGCATCTTGGGAGAGCAGCTGGATGGAGGAAGAGAGAGCTGGGGGCCAGCCCTTGCCTCAGAGATACCACTCTGCACACACAGACACACCCCTCTACCTTTGTGAAAAGCTCTTCCTCGCACCCCTCGCCTAAGCTCTTGCTGTAGTCTAGGGACATCACTCGACCACCCACCCACCCCCATTCAATGATGGGAAACAGAAGCTGGGGTTCACCTCTCACACTCACGGAAGTGCCATCGGCCCAGGTCTCCTGACACGGCCCACGTCATCCATGTAGCCCTCTGCCAAGAGTGGGGAAGGGGTCTCTGCATGGTTGAGGTTGAGGTTTGGGAAAGTGAGGTCAATGACTGAGGTCTACAGCCCAGGCAGCATGGGGAGCCAGCGGTCCAGGCTCACTCTCTGCACACAGGCCCCAGCCTTCTGCTCCGAGGGGCCCTGGGCCCCAGGCTGCACCCTACATGCACCCGCAGCCACCACCCACACTTCCACACCCATCCAGGCCAGCTGCAGTGGCCTCACTGAGATGATGGATGCTCCTGCCCAAATGTGATTTCCCAGCTGCTGCTGAGTTAATCACCAGCCTCACTGGCAGCTCCTTCCGGCTTCTATGCAAAGGAAACTGCCAATTAGGTTACAATTAATTTCTTACCCAGGGCAAGGCCTGGCTGGAACAAGATTGGCCACCCAAGTGGCCTGCTGATGACTGTGTGGGGGTCACCAGGCCCACTTGGCTCCAGGACTCTCATGCTACAAGGTCCCAACTGACTTCGGGGGTGCTAGCTCTGGCCTGGGGGTGACTGGCCAGGACATTACCAGCTTTGACCCTGGTGCCTCCGCGTGGGGAGCTGTCCCTCATGTACCCATCAGGGCACTGTGACTCAGACTTAAACAAACCTGTTATGCCACCTATCTTGAGATCCCTGAACAGAGATGGTCCTGTCCATTTTTGTCCACACCCCCCCCCCGCCCGATGCAGCACTCTTCTTGTGCAACATTAACCAGCAAGACTTCTATGGTGCACTCCTTGTGAGAGTCTCTGTTCTGAAGTATTTCACATGCATTGTCCCACTGAATTAACACAACTGCCAGAAGCAGGATGATTATGATCCCTGTCTTTGCAGAGGAGGAAACTGAGGCAGAGAGAGGCTAAGTACCTTGCCCAAGGCCACGCAGACAGTGAGCCAGGACTGAAGCTAGGGTCCTGCGTAGGGTGGTATGCATGGCCACCAAGCTCTTTTGCTCAGTGACGGCCATGCACACACGCACAGAGAAGCCAGGGCGCTGAGACCTGGGACCCTGCACCACCCACCCACCCGCTTACAGCCCAGACCGATGATGCCATCATAAATAACGATCCATGCCTCCCTTACCTCTTCTAAAAAGCAGGTGCCCCTAGAGGTTTCCTGGTATAAATTTGTTAACATTTCAATGAAATGGGATGAAGGCCCAGGAAAGTGTGACTGGGTGGGAGTCTGCTCAGGCAGTTATCTGCCTGACAGGGACAGACACAGTGATGGTTGCTGAATGCACAGGCAGGACATGGCAGGGGCCCACCGATGCCAGGGGCCTGACATGTCTATCTCTGCTGGACCAGAAGTGACTCTTACGGGGTCCTGCCCTCCATCCCCATTGGGTCCTATTATCACCAAATACTTGAAAAGGTGGAACCAGCAAAGTCCGGCTTCTGCAAGTGGCCAGTGATCCTTGACTTGTACCTCCTGAGGGGAGGGGTCGGGGCAGCTCCTAGGAAGGTAGCACTTACACAGGGTGGCTGGGACAAAGGCACCTCCCTGAGCCAGCAGCAGCCTGTCTGTCAGAGC